TATAAAAAAAAGAAAAAAGACAATACGCCATGACCAAGTAGAGTTTATCTCAGGAATGCCAAGATAAGTTAACATTTGAAAGTCAATGTCATTCACTATATTGACCAACTGAAAAAAAACAAACATATGATCATCTCAGTAGATGCCAAATGGAATCATATAGTAGGTATTCTTTTTTGTCAGCTTCTTTCATTTAGCATAATTATTTTGAGATTCATCCATGTTGTTGAAGTATCAGTGGTTCATTGATTTTATTGCTGAGTAGCATTTCATTATATAGAAATGTGACAATTATGAATACATTGTGGATGGGAATTTGAGGTGTTGCCAATCTGGGATTACTACAAATAAAACTGTTATCTCCATTCCACTGCAAGTCCTCATACAAATGAATGAGTGGACATACATTTTAATTTCTCTTGGGTAAATACTCAGGAGTGGAACGGCTGGATCAGATGTTTAACTTGTAAAGAAACTGCCAGGGGTGCCTGGGTGGCCTAGTTGGTTGAGTACCTGACTTCAGCTCAGGTTATGATCTCATAGTTTGTGAGTTTGAGCCCCATATCCAGCTCATTGCTGTCAGCACAGAGCCCGCTTTAGATCTTCTGTCACCCTCTCTCTCTGCCCCTCTCTTGCTCATACTCTCTTCTCTAAAATATAAACATTAAGAATAATAATAAAAATAAAGAAATTGCCAAACTCTTTCCCAAAGTTGTGCCTTTGTAAGTCTCTGCTATTAGTGTATGAGAGTGCCGGTCCCTGGGTCCCTGAGTCCCTGGTCCCCACGTCCTTCATTGCCTCATTAACAATGGGCAATCTTGTTAATTTCTGCCATCTTGTGGGGTGTGTAGTATCTCACTGTGATCTTCATTTGCATACTCATAATGACTAATGATGCCGAGTACCTCTTCCTATGCTATTTGCCATCTGCGCATCTTTTTTTGGTGAAGCTATCTGTTGAGTACATAGAGAAAGCATTTCATAAAATCTAACATCTTTTTAGGATTAAAAAAAGACCCAGCCAACTAGGCATAGAAGCAAATTTCCTTAATCTGATAAAAAGCTATCTATCACAAAAGCCTGTAGTAAACGTAATACTGAATAACGAAATATTAAAAGCTTTCTCCTGAGACAGACAATGAAATCAGGCAACTGCTGTCATAACTACTCTTCGATATTCTCCTGAAGGACTCTCCTCAGTACAAGAGTGAAGAAAAATAAATAAACATGGATCAGAAAGGAAGAAATAAACATGTCATTATCTACAGATGCCAAGATTATACGTGGAAAAATTTGAGAAGAATCTATAGATAACCTGTAAGGGGTAATCACTGAATTTAGTAAGGTCACTAGGATCAAGGTCAAGATACAAAAGTCAATTTGTTTTATTTCTACACCAGGATACAATTAGAAAATGAAATCAAAATGTTACCATTTATAACAGAGATAAACATCAAATGCCTAGAAGGCATAAAGGAGATACACATGACCTGTACACGGAGAGCTTTGAAACGTTTTCTTTTTTAAGATTTTATTTTTAAGTAATCTCCACATCCAATGTGGGGCTCAAACTCACAACCCCAAGTTCAAGAGTCTCATGCTATACCAGCTGAGCCAGCCAGGCGTCCTGCTGTAAAACATTTTTGAAAAAAATTTAAGAAGACCTCAAAGAAATGCACATAGATGGGATAAATCAACATTATTGAGATGTAAGTTATCCCCAAATCAATTGCTAGAATCAATGCAACCCAAATCAAAATGGCAGTAAGGACTTTTATTTTTAGGACATTAATGAGTTGATTCTAAAATTTATATGGAAATGCAACGGGGCCAAGAGTCACCAAGATAAAGTACAAGGTTGAAAGATTTATACTGCTACATTAAAGACTTATTATAGGGGCGCCTGGGTGGCTCAGTTGGTTAAGCATCTGACTCTTGATTTTGGCTCAGGTCATGATCTCATGGTTTGTGGGATGGAGCCCCACATGAGGCTCTGTGCACAGAGTCGGCTTGAGATTCTGCTTCTCTCTCTCTCTGCCCCTCCCCTGCTCATGCTCCTTCTCTCTCTCTCTCTCTCTCTCTCAAAATAAATAAACAAACATTTTTTTAAAAGACTTGTGTGGGGCTCCTGGGTGGCTCGGTCAGTTAAGCTCAGGTCATAATCTTGCAGTTCATGAGTCTGAGCCCCGCATCGAGCTCTGTACTGACAGCTGGGAGCCCAGAGCCAGCTTTGGATTCTGTGTCCCCCTCTCTCTCTGCCCCTCCCCTGCTAGTGCTCTGTCTCTCAAAAAATGAAAAGACGTTAAAAACATTTTTTAAAAGAATATATTTAAAAAGACTTGTTATAAAGTTATAATAATTAAGACTGTATTATGTAATTGACCAGAATAAAGAATCTAGAAGTAGACCTGCATATACATGGATACCTGATTTATAGCAAAGATAGAGCTGCAGAGTAGTAGAAAAAGAATGGTCTTTCCTTTTTTTTATTTTTTAGTATATTTATTCATTTTTGAAAGAGAGAAAGAGAGAGAGCGTGTGTCCATGCACAAGCAGGGAAGGAGCAGAGAAAAGAGGGAGAGAATCCCAAGCAGGTTCCGCAATGCCACCACAGAGCCAGAGGTGGGACTCAAATTCATGAACCGTGAGATCAGAACCTGAGCCAAAATCAAGAGTCAGAGGCTCAACTGGCTGAGCAACCCAGGTACGCCAAGAATGGCCTTTCAATAAATGATGCAGTGTCACTTGGATATGGATATTGAAAACACCAAACTTGCACATTCGCTTCATACCATACACAAAAACAATTCCAACCGAATTGCAGGTCTAGATGTGAAAGGTAAAATCATACAGTTTCTAGAAGAAATTATTTGGGGCTAGGCAAAGATTTCTCAAATAGGACAGACATACACAGTAACTAAAAAGAAAAGGACTGATAAACTGGGCTATATTAAAATTGAGAGCAGAAAGGGAAATCACTGACTGAAAGATATTTACTCTACCTGTAGGTGACAAATGGACTCATTTCTAGAACAGTTTAAAGAACTCTTAAAAATAAGAAAAATCCAGGGGCTTCTGGGTGGCCCAGTTAGTTGAGTGTCTGACTTGGGCTCATGGTTCAGGGGTTTGAGCCTCACATCAGGCTCTGTGTTGACAGCTTGGAGCCTAAAGCCTGTTTCTGATTCTGTATCTCCCTTGTTCTCTGCCCCTCCCCCACTCCTGCTCTGTTTGTCTGTCTCTCTCTCTCTCTCTCTCTCAAAAATAAATAGACATCCAAATAATTTTTTAAATAAGAAAAATCCAATAGGAAAAACAATGGTTAAAAAAAAAAAAACAAAACCTTGAACAGTCACACTTCCAAAGAGAATATTCTAAAGGTCAACCAACATAAGAAAGTTGCTCAATCCATTGATCAAAGAGCAATGCATATTAAAACCACGATGTGTGAAAGAGGTCGGTGATGATGTAGAGCAATTGGAATTCTCATACATTGCTGGTCAAGAAGTGAAATTGACAGAGGTGCCTGGGTGGCTCAGTCGGTTGAGCCCATGACTTGGGCTCAGGTTATGATCTCACGGTTCGTGGGTTCGAGCCCCGCGTCGGGCTCTGTGCTGACAGCTAGCTCAGAGCCTGGAGACTGTTTCAGATTCTGTATCTCCCTCTCTCTCTGACCCTCCCCTGCTCACTCTGTGTTTCTCTCTCTCTCAGAAATAAATAGAAACATTTAAAAAAAAATTTTTTTTAAAGAAGTGAAATTGACAAAACTACTTTGGAAAAATGTTGATATTGTCTAAGCTGATCATAAACACATCTTAGGCCCCAGCAATTCTACTCCAAGGTATGGACAACATCCATACATATGTGTCCAAAACACGTACAGGCATAGTTAAAAAATCTTGTATTCATAGTAGCCCCCAACTGGAAACAAACCAAATGCCCTTCTATAGTAGAATGGATAAATTGTGGCATAGTCAAACAAAGAAAAACTTGATAGCAATGAAAATGAACTAATCACTGATACAGGAAACATGAAGTTAAATCCCTCAAACATGAGTGAGAAAAGCCTGAGAGAAAAAAGTTCATATTGTAGGATTCCAATTTATATAAAGTTCCAAAACAGGCTAAAGTAGTTAATGACATTAGAAGTCAGGATAGCTGTAGTGTTTACTTCTGCAGAGAAGGGGAAAGGGACAAGATGGGACTTTGGGGTTATTGTTGAGAATTTATGTCTTGGTCTGAGACAGTGATTCCATAGGTGGTGTTTTCATTGTGAATATCCATTAAGCTGTGTAACTATGATTGGTGTGCTTTTTCTGAATATGTATTATGTTTCAAAGAAAAGAAAAAGAGAGCACAAAATCAAAGGATGGGAGGAAGAAAGAGAGGTCTGGTTGGGATTGGAGAGCATCAGGGATTCTAGAAGCCCACTGGGGAGGTGGAAATACCCCAAAAGAAAGAAAAAGTGGTAGAATAAAGATCTTGGAATGAGGTTTCCAGCCCCAGCAATGATTCCTAAACCCCAGGTGTGGTCCACAATTGGTGCACACAAACAAAACCAGGGAGGCTGGGACTGCCACTCACCCGTGTGGCACGCTGAGCAATGACCTGAGTGCTCCTCCTCCTCCCCCACACAGCCATCCCATCACCTCTTTCTCAGGAGAAAGGTCCAAAACTTGAAACAATGAGGACATAGGATTTGTGCCCATAATGTATGGAGTTAAACTTCCCAACAAGCCGGCAGAATGGGGCCTTGCGTTAATTTTAGGAATACAGAAAGTAAGATCATTTTACACATCTAAATGTGAGGACTGAGATTCTTACCAGAGACATGGAAATAACAAGTGTGTTGAATAGACTTCCTCTTCCCCCCACCCCATCCTTTGTTTTCATAGTCCCTTGGAAACCAGCATATTAGGAAGCGGGGAAGAACCACGTAAGGAAAGCCTTGAGGTATGACCCAGGGTTTACTATTACTATATCTGTTATTGAGTTCACAAGACCTTTCAGTACTTTGCTGGCCTTGCTGGGATAGTTTTTGCCAGTGCACTGGGCTTTGTCTGTTGAGTTGTCCATCTTAGCAAAGTTCTGCGATGTGTTCCATTTGTTGGATGAAAAACTCTACCACATGCTCTTCTAAGCACCTGAAACAGCAAAATACAGCATGTGTAGGGAGTGTTTCACATTCCTGTTAACGATGTTGATTGGGTTCTGGTACGTGCAGGGTAGCCTGGGGAATCTTGTGGGTAGAGGCTGAGATTTCCCAAGTTCGAGGACCCTAACTCCCAAGCACATTGCACTGCCTGTAACAGGAACTCTGAAAGTGTTCATTGTTGACGCTGCTTACAGAGCTACCAAAGGCCTGGATTTTATAAATTTATCCATGCTGAGATAAGTGACATCCAAACTAATTCATCAGTTCTAAGTGTACGATTCAGTTTTACAATTGTGTCAAATACCATCGCAAGAAACACATAAATACACCTATCATCCCCAAACGTTCCCCGTGTTTCTTTGCCATCAGTGCCCTCCCAACCCTGGCATCTGGCAACCACTGCTTTGCTTTCTGTCACCATAGTTGCCTTTTCTTTTCTAGAATGTCATATATATGTAATCATATATACCATTTTGTGACTCTCTTTTTTCACATAGCTCATTGCTTTTAAGATTCTTCTGAGTTGGTCCCTGTACCAGTAAGTTGTTCCAATCGCTACACATCCTGACCAACACTTGTTTGGTAAGTTTTATTCATTTTTAGGCATTCTGGTGGTTGTATAGTAGTATCTCATTGTCACGGCCATCACCAATCAGTCAAATACTTGAGAAGAAACTTCTTCCTATTCCTTTATTATTATTATTGCACAAGCTGGGGAGGAACAGAGAGAGAGGGAGGCACAGAATCTGAAGCAGGCTCCAGGTCCTGAGCTGTCAGCACAGAGCCCAACCTGGGGCTCCAACTCAGGAACTGTGAGATCATGACCTGAGTCAAATTTGGATGCTTAGCCGACTGAACCACTCAGGTTCTGAACTATTTCTGAACTTTATCTGTGGAGGCCCCTCCTCTGTGGTATTCTACCCTATAAATTCCAACCAATTCCAACCTCTCTGGTCGTCCTAAACTGATTTTATTCTCACCAACCCAGAAAGCTGGGCTTTTTTTGAGGGTACCCACCTCCCCCCACTAAACTGTGGCCTGGAAACTGCCCCCAGCACTAACCTTGGGCAATTGCAGGGCCCACCTTATCTCCCTTCTCTCAAGAATTGCTACACTAAGTTACCTGTTGTCTTATGTCTAAAACCAGTTACCTCATGTCTGTCTATATTTTAGGTTAACAGCAGGAGCATGATTCAATCTCCATAGCAGTTAATCTTTTGTGGACAGACTTGAGTTCTATTTTGCTCATCTTTTTTTCCCCCAAAGAACTTAGGTCATTTCCGAACAAATGGAGGACTGAATGAATGATGGCGTGCTCAACCAATCCTTTTCACCTTCAGTATTCATTCTCTACCTGATTCTCTCTCTGCAGTAATTCTCAATCTTTTCTGGTTGATGATCTGCACTGAAATTTTAACCTTTAATAGAGTTATTGGCAATGCACTCCAAGAAATGAAGAGATTCAGAGCAAGAGAAATCAATAATGCTCACAGCAAAGCCATCTACTCCAGTATAAAAATGTCTTCTAGGATATATAAAAGCAGCCACCATTTACTCACCACCCCAGAGTGCTGTGTTGTTGTCTTAGTACTTCTACTAAGTACTTAGTACTTCTTCTACCATCTATTTCCCTAGCTACAAGAAAACTCTTATTTTAAAAATGCGCTAATGGTCTGAGAGATGAAGTCCAATGGGTAATTTCTGTTGGAGTAGTGCTGCCATGCCTATTGACCTGTCTTACAATCCAGGAAGTACATATTTCATTTTGTTTCAAGAAGCTAAATACCTTATATATATACATATATATATACATGTATATATATATACACACACATCTAAACCCAAATTACAGTTAGAATAATATAGCCAGCTCTCATCCAACATTTTGATCTGTGTACTTTTCGAATATCACAATACCCTTCAAAAACATAATCTAATTTAGATGCATATTTTATTAAAGGGATACATTATAATTGTTAAGCTATTCTTATTTGCTTAATTTGATTACTTTTATTCTAAAATAAATAATAATATAGTGAATATTTTCTATACAGGTTTAATATAATTCTGCTTTCTTACTTTAGGTATTTTAAAATATTGAATTATTACAAATGGAAAAACTTAGGTATATAATCTCATTGCCAACTGTCCTATTTTCCCCAAATACATGTGAAAATGCTGTCTCATTAAATGTGTATACTTTTGTGTTTTAATGCAGAAATATAAAATGATAGGTCCATATTGCCTCAAATGATATTTCACTGAAATTTAGAAAGTTTGAACATTTTAAAAGTGTTTATTTTCCATTTGCTTTTATATCTAAAGATTACCTATAAAAATCTACTACCTAAATTTATTGTGTCTTTTCTTTAAAAATGACTAATAAAATATACATATACTTTTGCATGAGTAAATATGCCCCACTATTCAAGTGTCAAGGTGATAGGACATGGAGCTGAATTAAAGCAGTAATATTCAAGTCTTTATTCATTCACCACCACAGTGCCATCAACAGGAACAAAGTGGTACCAGGCATTTTTCCCCCTGAGGAACAACATAGGGCAAGAGTCCCATTGGATGTACCACAAATGAAGGAATCCTCTCATTGCTAAGGAGCCCTGAAAAGAAGTTTCTGGACTCTTTATGGACTTGGTGGGGAGAGAAAGAAAGTGGCCAGAGTGTAAAAGTATTAAGTCAATGTGGAAAAATGTGCCTCAGTGAAGGACCCTTCCATAAAGAAGTTGCTCTGCAGGCACTTGAGAAATGCCCCAGCTGAGGCCCTCTGCTTCCCCATGATGAAATAGGCCTCTGAATAAGGTGCATGTGTTGTTGAGAAGAATTAATAATCTGCAACTAAAAAAAAAAAATGCGCTAATGGGAGGGCGCCTGCACAGCTCAGTTGGTTAAACGTCCAACTTCAGCTCAGGTCATGATTTCACAATTTGTGAGTTTGAGTCCTACATTGGGCTCTGTGCTGACAGCTGGGAGCCTAGAGCCTACTTTGGATTCTGTGTTCCCCCCTCTCTCTGCCCCTCCCCTGCTCTCACTCTGTCTCTCTCTCTCTCCCAAAAATAAACAAACATTAAAAAAATAAAATAAAACAAAAATGCCCTAATGGGTGAGCATAGCATGATGTTTAAACTTGTAGGATCACACTGTATTATACATCTGAAACTAATGTAACATCATGCGTCAACTACACTCAAATAAAAAAGTTAAGAAACAAATGATAAAAAATAAAAATGAACTAATGTGTAGAATTATGGGTGTTTAGAAAAAAATTAAGATTCTTATTATAGTGGTGGTATGGGCACCTTATCAAATTTTTGGAAGCTATAAGACATTGAAAAGACTTTCTAAAACAATCCATAATCCTACCACCTAAAGTCAACACTGCTCGTAATGCTTGGGAGCCTTGGCACCGCATACCTGTGAAGCCGGACGAGAGCAGGTGCAGCCCAGGTCTGAACAGAGCCCTGCCCAGATGTGCCTTACGGGTGCACATCCTGGTAGAACTGTTCATGACAAGACATCAAGGGCCTAGAATCTCAAAAAAGAGTAATGAAGATACACCACCTTCCAAATCAATGGCCTGTGTTTAAGGAAGTCCCAGGTGAGCACCAGTAATCAAGAGTATCCAGTCCTGGGTTCAAGGTTGTATGTACTCTGCCACTTACTAGTCCTGATTCTAGATGAGACACTTAATCTTTTGAGCCGGTTGCCCCCTCCGTGAACTGAGAATGGGAACGGTACTTTTCCTCTCAAGGTGCTTATGGATTAAATACAATGACGCCTGTGATGAAGTAGATGCTGCTGCCAGGCCTACCCTAGGCTTTTATTCATACTAGTTTTTGACATATGCACAGGGATAGTATATTAACAGCTTAAAATAAGAGCGATCATTTATTGAGCCCTTACGATCCTAAATAGCTTGAATGGAATACTTCATGCTGTCCTTATAATAATCCAGTGAGGTTTTATCCACATTTTATAGATAAGAAAACAGGCATTTAGAGAGAGGGGTTAGGTGGCTTGCGCAAGGTCACACCAGAGTAAGAGGTGGAATCGGACCTTGAACCTCGGAAGTCTGACTTCTGCTCACCCTTATCCACTTATAATAACCTCGAAGGAGCACACACTGAGTGTTAACATGCTAAAATTTGACACTTAGCCTCCTTGAGTGCGCACGGTTAGGTTTCTTTTTTTTTTTTCTAATTACGATACCACATATAGTTTTCTTTTTCTTTTTCTTTTTTTAAGGTTTTTATTTATTTCTAGGAGAGAGAGAGAGACAGCGTGAGCAGGGGAGGGCCAGAGAGAGAGGGAGTCACAGACTGAAACAGGCTCCAGGCTCTGAGCTGGCAGTCAGCACAGAGCCCGACGCGGGGCTCGAACCCACGAACCGCGAGATCATGACCCAAGCGAAAGTCGGACGCTTAACCGACTAAGCCACCCAGGCGCCCCATACCACATATAGTTTTCAAAAGCAAATATTTGAGGCTGTTGCATTTTCGCAGAATGCTGGGCTTTCCCAGGACTCGGTTTGAAAATTCCTGAGGACTCAGTCCTGAAGCTTCTTCACTGTTGGGTGGTTTTAATTACTAGAAAGTTCCTGCCTGTATCAAAGCTGATTCATCCCCCTCCCCCCCCACCTTCACCTCATTCTGCCCCTTGGAGTCAGCCTGGATTAAATCTCACCCGCTTTTCATACTGGTGATTTTCAAAACGCAGGTCACAGCCCACAGTCTTTCATGAGCTTTTTGTTGGCATGTGTATGTGTGTGTGCTGGGTGGCAACATAAAGTGCATTTCTAGCATGGGTCACATTCCAAAAGTGTGAAAGCCACCATTCTATAGGACTATTCTTCAAGTATTTGAAGGCAGCCGTCCAATCCCACTACCAAAAGACATGGGCCCTTTGCAGCCTCCGCAATACCTCCTTGTAGGGTGGGGATTCTTCCCTTCCCTCTTCTGGGCATCATCTTCTGGCCCTGTCACCAGATTCATCCGGGTCTCTCCTCAAACTTTTAGGGATGTCTTCCTTAACCACTCTCTCCTACAGGACACCACCCCTCTCTCTCCAGCCCGACACCGCCTTATGTTTCTCGATGCATTTTTCACTACCCAGCCTCATATTTTATATGTACTTGTTTGTTTATGGTCTTCCTATAGAACATTCATCATTGAATCCCCAATCTGCTTCCTAGCACAAAGTAGCTGCTCAATAACATTTGTGGAATGAATGGATGCTAGGGGTAGACATATTCTAGTCATAGTGCATATAGACGTGTTCATAATACAACTCTTCTTTCTGAGCCACAATTCTATAAGGATTTAACTCACTTGACTATAAATACAGGTGTATCTTCATTCTACTACGTTAGGGGGAAAAACCCTTTCGCATCTTTGTTATGGTATTATCACATATTTTATACATCTATACATGCATATTAATGTGTGGCATATATCAATATATACTAAATCATATATACTGTTACTATATGGAATTTTATAGTATTTGAGTACTTTTGACTATATGAGATTTTTACACATTCAGTTGCATATGATGCTAACTTGAAAGTGCATCTTGAAAGTATTTTACACTTTTCAAAGCCCTCTTGGGAAAATAATACAGTTAATATTTTTTCATGAACTGAGAAAGTGTGTCAGAGAGCTGGAAGGACCTTTAGCAGCCTCCTAGTGAATGCTAAATTCCAGTCTCACCCTTTCATTTTATAGATGGAGAAACTGAGGCCCAGAGCAGGGAAGACTTTGCTGAGGGACACCCAAGGTGCTGGGGAGGACCTGGGGTTAGAACTCAGCCCTTGGTGGCCCGCCCACTGCCCAGCGCAGAGCTTCCAACCATTGGTACACTCCCAGGGGCAGAGGCAGGGGGGCCAGATGCCCACGCCCTTCATAGGAGCTCCGCGGGGGAGGGCGCGCCCTGGTTATCATCACCACTTGAGCTGGGGGCTCTGAAGGCACGCCGTCAGGAAGGAGCACCTCCGACCTTGGCTTCTTCTCACCCCGGGGCATCTCCCAGCTCCGCAGAATTCCGCACGCACCCAGAAGGCCGGGGGTCTCAGTGGGTGTCCCATGGGGTGCTCCAGGTCCTCCTCCCCACCACCCCGCGACCCGATCCTGGACAAGAACTGCCTCCTACCTCGTCGGGTTCCCCTGGGCTGAATCCGCCTGCCCAGCCTCCCCATCTCTATGGCAACCAACCGCCTAACATTCTAGAGTCCTTCCTCAGCCCGCTTCCTGAGTAACTAGCCAATGCTTTCCTCTGTTTCTTTAGCTTGAAAAATTGTTGGCCAATCGCCAGAGGCGTTTCAAAAAAAAAAAAATCCGCAGGGAAGCTGCCAGAATTTTAGGGTTCAGGTTAATTAAATCAGGACGGATTGGGAAATTTAATAGCCGATTATCTAAGTGATCCTTCAAATGTCTTGTAATAGACCGAAAGCCTTAGAATTTTGCCTACCCAGAAATCTTAGTTAAAAGAATAAACCTAAGACAACAGTCCTCCATGCCCTGTGTATAAAAGAAAACAGGATTGATACGGGCGACGATCCAAGGGCAGACAGACATACAGTGTTCCTTGTGCCCCTCTTTACAAGTTACAGGGCAGTCCCTGTAATCTTGTGACTCCCCAGTTCAGAACCCCCAACCCCCCCCCCCCCCCCCCCCCCCCCCCCCCCCCCGCCAAATCTAGGATGAAATCCAAAGGTCTTAAGTCATCCCTGGCCGGGTCCTCTGATTGCGGTTCCTAACACCCACGCCCCAGAAAAATCTTGCTCGAATCAGCTTTCCTATGGGCAGTTCCTGCGAAATGCCAACCTCGTTCTGCTCTCAGATGTTTCCTCTGAGCTCTCTCTGCTTCCAGATCTGAACCCAAACTGGCTACTTTCTCCTCCTTGGGGGTCTCTGCGCAAATGCCATTTCTTCATCTGTGAAAAGGGCATGAGCTCCATGTCCCTCCCAGGGGGTTGTTGCGAGGATCTGAAATGAGATGCGTGTATGAAAAAGTGTAAGCTCCATGCACGTGTCGACATTTATTGCTTACTGTACATACAGTTGTTCGGAAGCATTCATCAAGTGCTAGGCTCACGGGAGGACCTTAAGTATTGCAGAGCTGCGGACGTGCGGGGAGGGTTGGTATATGGCGCAGCTAACAGGTGTTGGGGGCCCCGCATACTCCGGAAGGCTTTTGGGGGAGCCGGGTCTTGCGGGATGTGAGGCATTTAAATACAAGGCGAGAGCATAAAGTGGAGGAACAGCAGGAGCAAGCCCAGGAGGCAGCGCTAAGAATTGCAAGGCAGGACTGTGGCAGGCTGACCCCCTGTCGGGCAGGGAGAGGTGAGCAGTCACCTGAGCTCTCTGGAACAGCGGAAAGGGACAGCGGGGTTTTTTTCCCAACGTCCTTGGTGCGGCCGCTAGAGGGGACCCACTCCAGGTGAGCGTAAGGCTGGAGGAGGGCGCCGCCTCCGCAAGGCTCGCCCCCTACGCTTCAAGCAAGCTTTGCGGCACAGCCAATGGTCGGGGGCTGTCCCGCCCATTCCTTCCTCGCAGCCACTCGCTTGCACGAAGTCGCCGCCAGCTTCTGACTGGCAGGCGGCCTGGCAAATCACAGCGCGGCCTTTGAAAGCAAAACACTGCAGCACCCCGGCCGCTCTCGAGTTGGGGAAGGAATTAAGGAGGCTGTGCGTCCGGGTTGCACCAAGAGTCCAAGTCATTTCTCAGAAACCTCCGATCAGTGGGCCTTAGAGAAAACGCCTCCGGTGAGTAGCGATGAAGCCTGGTGGGGGGACTTGAAATCAGCCTTTGGTTTTTCGGGAAAGGGAATGTATTTGGAATCATCTAACGCCCCCTACTACAAATACCCTTTATTCTTGTGTCACCAGCCTTCCAGGTGTGGGTCTCGCTGTCTCTGAATGCTTTTTTGCAGGGGCCATGGGTGTGTCTTCATATAGGTGATGGCAGGCTTTACCAAATCAGGAAGTGAAATGCAGTAACTTTGACCAAATTATTCCTCTCCACACCGGCTCGAGCTTCCTGGCAATAGCAGATGGTGGAGTTAGCAGGTGGAATGAGCGCGGGGCGGGGGGAGGGTGGGTATTCTTGATCTACACTGGCTGCTGGAAGTTGTAGTTTCCAGCTCAATGTGGGGGGAGGGGGGGAGGGGGGACAATGAAGCGTGTAACCCTTTAGTGAGCCAAAGCCCAGGAAAGAGAAAGGGCTTGGCGTAACTGGCGCTCACCAGCCAGAAGGCGAATCGTCAGGTGGTGGGAAAAAGCGTATTGTATTTATTTATTTTTTCAGATAGAGCCAAATTCTAATGCAAATCTTCCTCTTAGCAACCATGGGCTGTGGTCCTCTCCTCTGACCTGCTCTGTGGGTTGGTGAAATAATTCATTAAGATAAAGGGTGGAGTGGGGGGTTGGGGGAGGAATGGAAGCAAGCACCTAGAATTATCTTTGATTTCTTGAGTCAGTGACCCTGTGCTCACGGCTGTCTGTGAGGGCCTCAAAATTAAGGGGTGGCTGGGTACACAGGGTTGGCCACCTGCCTCTTGGACATATGTTAGTCCTGGAAAAGTGCTTTGAAGGCAGAAAAGGAGAATCACTAGGCAAAGAATGTGCGCCTTACAAGGGAGGGCAACTTGCAAAGAGCTCCTCCAAAGCTCTTATTTTCTTTTCTGATTGTTTATTTATTTATGAGAGACAGCGGGAGAGAGTGAGCGCGTGAGCAGAGGAGGGGCAGAGAGAGGGAGACAGAATCCCAAGCAGGCTCTGCACTGACAGTGCAGAGCCAGATTCAGGGCTCGAACCCTCGAACTGTGAGATCATGACTTGAGTCAAAATCAAGTCAGATGCTTAACTTACTGAGCTACTCAGGGAGCACTGCCCCCACCCCCCACCCGCCCCGAAGCCTTTAGTCCAAAGTCTAGCCGAAGGAGAGCTTCCTGTCTTTGCAGGTGATGCCTCAGAGGCCTGAGCGTTCCTGAGGCAGAGAGCGAAGCTGCTTTTTAAAAGCGAATTAAATGACAGTAACACCACCACCACAAACAATTGCAAATACAGAAACCCACCTGAACAAAGTAGCTGGTCCAAAGAGGGTTAGGAGGCCTAGGTTTCCATCACCCCATTGGCATGTCCCCAAGGCCAGTTTGCTTTCTCTGACATCCTGTGGGTGGGGCTGGGCACGCTGTATCTCTGGAGTTGTGGCTGATTTGGCCTGAGTAAACCATTCCATTCTTGACTGTGAACTGCATCAGGTGCTCAACAGGCCTGTGTTTAGCCAGCCAGGAGGTGTATACAGACGTCAGCATGGCAGGCCTTGGGCCAGATCTTGGCAAGGGATGCACAGGGGATTCAGCAAATTCCAGAGTTTGCGCTCCAGCGCCCCTTCAGCTCCAGCTGGAAAGCCTCTAAGGGTGTCTCGGAGGTCTGTCCCCGGGCCACTCTTCCTTCCTAAGGCTACCATATTCAAAGCATTCAAATACATACACTTAACCCAATAATGCTTTTCACCCACACATAAAACTATAGTGACGAATAATTATGCCTCTCACAAGACTGCAAATACTCACAGGTCTTTACAGTCAGGGACGCTTGCTTATGGGATGTGAGTTATGAAATTGATGAGTGTACCCTGTATATATTGTATACATATGGTGTGTATTATAGGTACCATATATATGTATATCTGTGCAATTCAGGTATTGACTATCTCCTGAATGTACCACCTCATCTGGAGAGAGCAACAATGGTTTAATTTTGAGGCCCTTCAACGAAGCGAGCCCCTGGCTAAATGGTCTTCGTGGCTGCCCCTGCGCTAAGCCCAGCATCTAGTGTCTCCTAGATGCTGGACAGTGTTAAGCCCTGTGACATAGGACTGTGCTGCTCATACCAGGAACCAGCATTCCTGGGGGTAGGGCTAGCTAACAGAAGGACCTGGAAGTCGCAGGACAAAGAACAACTTTCTGAAGGCTTGAGGCATAGCAGAGGCTGTGTCTACTTGGCACATAGTAAGACCTCAATAAATATTTGTAGCAAGAAGGCACAAAAGAAAGGAATGTTTGTGGGTAAATTAAATACGTAAGCTGATAAGAATAAAATTAATAATAATGGCTGCCATTCATTGGCCATTTGCTACGCACAGCATTTTATGGGCATCATCTCATCAAATTCTCACAACAGGCCTGTGGGGGTAGGAATGTTATTATCTGATTATTTGTACTTGATAGCAGAGAAAACCACCTGGAAAGTTAAATGACTTGGCAAAGGCAAACAGGTAGCGTATAACAGAGCAAAAGCTATTATAACTTTTTTTAAATTGAAATAAACATAGACTTTGCAGTAGAATATGAATTAGTATGATTTTTTTTTTTTTTTTACTATAAGAAGACCTCAAAGAAACCCTGAGCACTGTGGTAAGGTGTTTTGGCCATGCCTTCCAGAACCCTAGGGGCATACTTCATCTTTCTTCTCTATTTGGTAGAAAAGCTTGATATGCATCGAAACTACCAGTCCGATAAAATCAATAGGAATTACTGTCACTGCTGATCCTATTTGAAGCCACATTATTACCCCCACTTTACAGATGAGGCACCTGAGGCTCCCAGAGGCAGTGTCGTCTGGTCACACAGGTCTTCTCCCAGGGTGCAGCAGCCCCTCACCCGTGCTAGGCTGACACTCGGGTAGCAGCCCAGTTCTTCTGCCATCCGTGAAGATAGCTTTTCTTCTCATTCTCTCGTCCCGATGTCGAACACAGGTGGTTCCTTTTTTATGACAGTGGGTTATAGTTTTTGGAGGCCTGGAGAGGGAGACAGGGGCAGTGTTCTACATCTTATGTAGGGGAAATGGACAAGGTAGGATTTCAATTAGGATATGACAGGAGGAAAGAAGCAGAGGGGAAGCAAAAAGGTTATTTAAAAAAATTTTTTTAACTGTTTAATTGGTTTTTTTTTAATGTTTGTTGATTTTTGAGAGGGAGAGAGAGAGCGAGCACAAGCAGGGTAAGGGAAGCGGGGGGCTGGGGTGGGACAGAATATCCGAAGTGGGTTCCACACTGACAGCAGAGAGCCCATGTGGGGCTCAAGCTCTCGAACTCTGAGATCATGACCTGAGCCGAAGTCAGACGCTTAACCGACTGAGCCACCCAGGCACCCCTAATTATTTATTTTTGAGAGAGAGAGAGAATCCCAAGCAGGCTCCATGCTGTCAGTGCAGAACCCGACGCAGGGCTCGATCCCATGAACCTTGAGATTATAACCTGAGCCAAAGTTAAGAGTCAAACACTTGGGGCGCCTGAGTGGCTCAGTTGGTGAAGTGCCTGACTTCAGCTCAGGTTATGATTTCAGGGTTCATGAGTTCAAGCCCCGCCATGGACTCTGTGCTAACAGCGCAGAGCCTAGAGCCCGCTTTGGATTCTGTGTCTCCCTCTCTCTCTGCCCCTCCCCCACTCACCCTCTGTCTCTGTCTCAAAAATAAACATTAAAAAAATCTATTAAAATAAAAAGGAGTCAGATGCGCCACCAACTGAGCCGCCCAGGTGCCCTGAGAAAAGGTAATTTTTAAGGGTCAGGGGAAAAGGTTCTGAAGTGGATGAGCCATGTCTTTATTATTTATTTATATATATTTTAATATTTATTTTTAAGAGAGAGAGACAGAGTGTGAGCTGGGGAGGGACAGAGAGAGAGGGAGACACAGCATCTGAAACAGCCTCCAGGCTCCAAGGTGGAGCCGGTCAGCACACAGTCCGATGTGGGGCTCCAACTCACACAGTCACCAACCGTGAGACCGTCACCGGAGCTCAAGTCAGCCGCTTAACCGACCCAGCCACCCAGGCACCCTGAGCTATGTCTTTATCAAGAGGACCAAAGGCATGATGTAATTTTGTAAATGGCAACAGCCTGCGTCTTGTCCCCGTAGCATCTTCTCCCCGGGTAACGAAGCTCATTGTACATGCATTTCTCACGTTCCTCCCCACCACCCCAGGGCACCGCCAGGATACAGACTCGCGCCCTTTCCTGCCTGCTTGGGAGAGACAGAACCTGGCACTTCTCGCGGTGAAGGAGAGGGAGCGGCTGTAAATCAGCCAGAAGAGCCTCGAAGTCTTCCAACGGCCGCCGTGAAAGGAGGCGACTCGGGCCGCGAGAGATGGTCCCCGGGTTCGGCCCCGCCTAGCGGCAGCTCCGGCCCCCAGGAAATGTGCCCCTAGAGCCATGGACCGAGCCCGCGGTGCGGCCCTGCAGCTGCGCCCGCTCACGCCCACAAGCGGCGCAGACCCCAGCAGCGAGGCCTCCTTCTCCTACAAGGCAAGAGCTTTCTTTCTGGCTTTGAAATGTGTTTTTCTAACAAGAGAGTGACATACGATCGCCCTGGCTGATATGTCCAGGGTCTGCGTGCCTGTTGGTGGCAGAAACAGGCACTGGTATAGGAGAATCGGTAATCTGGAAGAAAGAAACCCTCTTTGAAATACATAAAGATAGGGGGTTAGGGAAAGATATAAAAAGAGAAAGGTAGACAAATATTTAAAAAAAATTTTTTTAATGTTTATTTTTGAGAGAGAGAGAGAGAGAGACAGGGTGTAAGTCAGAGAGGTACAGAGAGGGGTGGAGACAGAATCCGAAGCGGCTCCAGGCTCCAAGCTGTCAGCACAGAGCCTGAGGCAGGGCTTGGGCTTGAACTCACAGACTCTGAGATCATGACCTGAGCTGAAGTCAGGTGCTTAACCAACTGAGCCACACCCAGGTGCCCCGAGAAATATTTTTAAAGGGAGATATTCCCACTTAGAAGATTTATTTGTTTTAAATCACCTACTCATTACTCAGAGATGGGCTTTTTTCATATTTCAGCACATTTCCTTCCTGTCTTTTTTGGCTGTAACACTTTTGGGATCAGACTGCACAGAAAGTTGTGTATCTTGGTTGTTTCACTTAGTCCTATTTGTGGGTTATTTCCCCACGTCACTGAGTAATGATTTAACACATACTTTTTGAATGATTGCCCAGTAATCGAGTTGCTGTATCAAAACTTTCTGGACACATTGCCTATGGGATATTCAGGTTGTTTCTAATCCGGGGCAAGTGTAACAGTGCCACAGTGCACATCCCAGAGCAGGTGATGCCCTGCTGTCTCTAAGGATTGACTAGCCCTGGGTCTCTGCCTGGTGAGCGATGCCAAGAGCATCAAGAATACAGAACCCACGAAAATACAGTTAAGACAGTTGGTTCTGTGATGGATGCCAAATAAACAGATACAGAATCTAAGAAAACACAGAACCCTCTCCCAGATGAGATTTCTAGTAAGTTTCCATTTTAATTACAAATTAACTCAGTTACTTATTATAGAAATACCTTCTGAGTGCCAGAGGAAAGATAAATCAGTCAATCATGGTGACTCTACCAACAAGCTTCAGAATTGAGATGGGAGACAGGCACATGCACAAAGTTATGAGCTAACTGAAGTTCCAGGTGGGATAAAGGGAAGAAGACAAGTCTTCGAATCCCTACTCTGCTCCTTCCCAGCTAAGTGCCCTTGGACATATGGCTTAGCCTCTCAGAGCTTCTCTTAAGGATAGAATGCTGGTAGTAGTACCCTCCTCTATCACCTCATCCCTCCAATCATGTGGATCAATGAGAAAGCACCCAGCCCACATAGGAGGCATGCCGGAGGTGCCTCACTCTATGCTTGACCAGGAAGTGCCAGGGCGTTACAAAGAGGAGCAGATGCAGGTGCACACAGCAGAGGAGCGTCTAGTTAATTGTGCCTAGAGATTGAGGTTGTTTCCTTCCACCTTGATTTTAAGGCAATTTTGGGTGCAAGGAATAAAAACCCATTTCAGAGGCGCTGAGACAAAAGGGAAAACTATTATAAGACGAGGAGGTAGCTCCCGGAACCAGGGGCAAGAAGGGCAACGGAGATTAGAACGGATTGGAACTCCTATCCCGCCTTTGACAGAGGGAAGACCTGATTGCCCAGTTTGGGGTCAGGTGTCCACCCAGGTCCAATCCGTGGTGGGCAGGCGGGTGGAGTCACACAGCAAACCGGTTTCTCGTGTGCGGTCATTGTACTTGACTTTCTGAAAAGTGGTTATAAGGGCTGGGCAGGCTGCCCGCAAATCGTCTCTTATCTTTGGGGCAAGGAAAACATTAAGAGTGCCCAAGTCCAACTTTATCAATGAGGCGAAGTTAGGAGCAAGCCGTTTGAGTGGCAGCGCTGCGCTCCGCCCTGGTTGTTGGGGCGGATGGAGGTGGGGGAAGGAGTTCCGGGAAAGAGAGGCCGGGGCCAGCTGCCCAGGAGGCAGTATCGCAAGAGGTTGCTGGCACTGGAGGCTTGGCCTCAGCCTGGAAGAGTCAGGCCTCAGTTTCTTCTATTTAGCAAATAGGCGTTTCGGCTGGGCACCTGCTATCCATGCATGCCAGGGAGGGGGTGGGGAGCTGTATGAATAATTGAGCTCTCTCTTCCCTGGAGGAGTTTCCAATCTAGGAGGGAGGTGGGGGAAGCTATTTGCTTCAGTGCCTTAGCCTTCAGGACGAATTTGATACAAAAGTAGAGCTAGGAGGGGTGTTGAGAGCATGGCCTTTAGAATCAGAGAGACCTGTCTCCAAACCCCAGCTCTCTCCCGGTCTGTCTTTATAACTTGGGGGGAAGTCACGCAACTTCTCTGCGGGTCAATTTTAAATCCATCCTATGTGGCAGTTCCAAGGATGACCTGAACTTACAGGTGTAGGAAACTGAGGCTGCCTGCCCCGGCCCCTGGTAGAAACACCACCTATTCTCCCAGCTCAGGTCTCACCCTTGGCAGCTTGCCCAGCTGGAAAATATAGATCCGTTATCACACTTCCATAGCCAGTTCCCAGTCACTATAGTAATCGTCATCATAGCAGCTGCTAACTTTTGTTGAGTGTTTACTATAGGACCGGGACTATGCTAACCCTTCCAAGGACCCGGTGAGGTAGGTATTAGCACAATCCCCTTTTACATATTAGGACAGTGACACAGAGAGGTTAATTAACTTCTCTGGGGCCACACAGTCTATAGGTAGCAAAGCTGGGATTGGAATTGAGTGTGTGCATTGCCAAGGCCCTGGCTTTTTATCCGTCACCCCCTGCTGTCGGCATCATGCTCACCACTCTACAAGGCCCTTTCTCTCCCTGACACTGGGTGTTATGTATTGAAATGGCAAACACTGAGGAAGATAATGCCCCCCCTGCTGGAGAAGGTAAGCAGCAGGGAGCTGGCCTGAGGCCAGGTTACAGCCCTAGCAGGGCCTGGTTAGCCAAACGGCTCCATCTCTTGTATTTGAATATGAGTAACCCTCAGAGCAAGCCAGGATGCAATTTATACCGAACTGTGGGCAGTTTTAAGCCCAAGGGATTGTGGGACGTCCGTTTAAATAGCAAGTGATGACTGGTCTTGTCACTGTGACATTTAAATAGAAGCTCTTATTGGCAGATGTAAAGCAGATGTTAGAATGAGAGATCTGAGCTGAGTTTTCACTGGCAAGGTTTCCTGCCTCTGTGACCTTTGGCTGCTTTTCTGGAAACTGTTTCCTTTTTGTCCAGAGTTGTAGCTGGAACCAAAAGGGTCCTCAGAGCTCTTGCTATAAGTAGGGATGATAAAAAATAAAAATGGTAAAAATAATAATAGTAACAAGCTAGAATTGTTTTAGTATTTTTTTACATGCCAGATGTTGTTTCAACGTGTACCGTATTTCATGTAACATGACAATCCTATAGAGAGTTTACAGTCCCTCCATTTTTCAGAGGGGAAGCTGAGGCTCAGAGAGTGAAGGTAATTCCCCTGAGGTCACACAGCAGTAAGTGACAGAGGCAGGAAGTCCCCCCCTTCTCCCCCCACCCCATGCCCAGGACTGCTGGTCTTCAAAGTCCACACAGGGAAGCTGAAGCAGAGAGAGAAGTGACCTTGATTTTGCTGCCCCACCCATGACATTGAGGTCTGTTGAAGCCACGCCAAGAAAGCAGCTGAGTTTGAAACCTTGCTGCCTGCTTATAGTGTTGCCCTCACCCTCCATCGCTCGCCGGAGCCCTTCGCATTCAAAGGCTGCGCTGTGAGCACAGGGACCGAAAGTCCTGGCTTGTGCCTCATGTCCACGTATATTAATAGAGCCCCTTTTTGTTTTTAAAATGTCGCAATTGGGTCTACCTAGTAATATAAGGTTTCTGATCGTTGGGAGGCCTCGCTGTGTCCTCACCTATGTATATGGGACCAAAGTGCTGGAAAGACCTGTTCGGGCCCAGCCCCGCCACTTGCTCACCTGTGACTTTGGCCACATCTTGGTCCTTCTCGGGTAGTTGAGATACTCCACGGGCAGGAGCCCCCCCCCCCCCGCCGCCCCATTGAGGTATTTGCCTTCAAAATGAGGATGGCCCCTGCCTCCCCCCACCCCTTCCACCTTGGCGGACTCTGCCCAGTGAAGTCGAGAGCCAGTTGGGAGCCAATTAGGTGTTGCCTCAGCGACATCATCCCCATCTGACATCGTGTACAAAGGAACTCAAGAACCAAAGATAATGGCAGGTGAAGATACCGGCCTGAGGCCACCACCAGGCAGTCCTGCCCCTCAGTGGGAGGCTGTTTTAGTCTGGGACAGAGTCACTGAGCCCAGGGTCAAATCCCTGTTCTGGGTTAGCCATCCACAGGGACTTGTTGCACACTTCCCACTTCAAATAACGTCTGTGACCACGCCTGGCGTGGCTCCTCTGCGAAAGAGGAACGCGATGGCTCATCCAGAAGCTGAAGCCACCCAGGCCCCGCCCCTCATTCCCTCCCTGCCAGCAGACCCAGACGCCCCCATTTTACAGTTTTCAAGCTCTGAGGTTTGGAGATGGGACTGAATGTCAGGAGTTGTGCTGGTTGTCACCTCGCGCCAGACACTGCTGAACCCTTGGGGAACTGGGGAACCATTGGGCCGGTGGCAATGTCTTTGCCTGACGTTCAAGTTCAATCCTCAGAAAATCGAACCAAGCACCACTTCACAAGGGCTTGGGACATAATTAACCTTGATGAAGCCCTTTGAAATGCCTGGATGGAAGGGCATGTAATTATATTGCGCTGTTCCTAACCAGGTCTGTGTGTAGCCAGTTATTATGCATGGAGATTAATATACTTGTGGAAATGGCTTTTGAAAGAAACCCCAGCTGCGTGTGTTACTAGTGGGAAGGTAGCACTCCCACTGGGGTTGTTTTCTTCCTAATTTACTGGGCCACCTTTGAAGGACACGTCAGAAAACACAACGGGAGGTAGCCCAGAGGAGTAGTTACCAGCTGGGAGACTGGAAGTCAGACCTCGAGCT